TTATACTTTTTCTGACACCACATTTTTGGGTGTTTGACTTTAACAGAGTCAAAATTGGTTTAATTGACCTTTCTCATAAAAGGTTCTCTCATTTAATTCACATCAATTATTCTCATGATTTATTTCAACAAATCATTTCAATATTTACATTCTAAACAAATTCTTTATTTACTCTTGATTTGGGTCTGTACTCAGGTTCCCAATCAAGACCACACAAATAGTCCACATATTGGATTTATCTCTATAAGACTTATCTAGATTTTGATATTAGATGTCAAAACAAATTTCATATCGGCCCAAAGCCCAACAATAATTTATTTTAATCAAAACAATTGTGATTAATTGATTATTTATTCATTAATAATTCTAGGGTATGTTTTGGGGCGTTACATTTCTCCCCCCTTAAAAGGAATTTCGTCCTCAAAATTCTTCTTAGGTTCAACGTTCAACGTTTTGTAATGATCTCACTGATCATGACCGTTTCATATTCATATGGTTATGTCGCCATCTTTCGGATACGTATTCTCAAGTCATTGATTTCACCAAACTCGTTCAATCTTCGAGAGATTAGCAATTTTCGATTAAGTAAGGTCTTCACTGATCCTTTGATGACAAAAGTTCCTTCATAGTGTGTAGTATTGCATACTTGACATACATAACTTCATTCAGTTACGAGTCTTATCTGTACGTCCTTGGTTAACAGAATCGATTGAAAATTTCTTCAATACTCTTGAATGGTCTTTGATAAGCACAATTGCAGTTTGTTTCAATTCATACGTCGTAACGTAGTCTTTCAATTACTCAAGGGGTCGTTGTCTTCAGGGCAGTAGCCATTTGACTTTTCATCTTGGATTTGAACGTATTTCAAGACAGCGAATCTAACTGTTCATGAGTCTTGATATGTCATATCGTCAGCAGACTGTATTATTAGCGAACACGTCATTGTCAGTAGGTAAATTGAATCCATCTTTGCTGTGCAAATTTTGACGGAGGATAACTACCCCTTTTCAAAGGTCAGGTTTTCAGAGCCTATATATATCACGATTGTGGCCAGAGCATTTCACATTCTCACATTATGGAAGGAACATCTCGAACTTTTCCTTACACCATAAAATTCGTTGGTCTACTTGGTAGTCATTCTCTTGGTAGAAATCCAAAGTTCATGGCTACGGCAGTGGATTTAGGAAGGGAATTGGTAAGGCGAAAAATTAGACTTACCTATGGAGGAGGCAACGTTGGCCTTCAAGGAGCTGTTGCTTCAACAGTCTATACCAATGGTGGTATAGTTAGAGGCTTCATACCAGGGTACATAGCAGCACGACAGGTCTACGGACCTACGTATGGTGCAGAATACACAGTTTCAAGCAATTACTATAAGCATTTCGAGATGAATCATGTAGTGGAGGCCTTCATCGTACTTCCTGGAGGGATTGATACTATGGAAGGTTTGTTCACTTTGATCTCATGGGCATCTGAAGGGTTGCACAGTAAACCCATTGGTCTCTTGAATATTGACGGTTATTTTAATAACCTAATCAAATTTCTAGATGACGCAGTGAG